TTCCCTCCCCCACAACTACCAATGAATTAAACATTTTTAAGAAAACTAGTGTGGACGGGAATCATCTCTTTCAAAGATTTCAGAGCCACTGTGTTTCTCAGGAATGGATTAAATCATTTCACTAACTGTCTCCAATGACCCAGATAATGAATAACAAGAAACACCTCTTACTTTCCAGTAGATGCACTGAAATGCATGACTTGGAAAATGTTTTTTCCAAAATAATGTTCAAACTAAAAAAAATAAAATTGTTTTCAACTAGTTCTACAGCTACAATGATGAAGGCAGCCTTCTGGTTTGCGTCTTAAAGGTTGCCTACTGATTTGTATCTATTGTCTAAACAGAAATGTTTGATTTCACAAGAGAATTGGGCAAATGTTCCAATGTTGATGTAAATGTCTGATTTTGTACTACAACTACAGTGATGTGAAGCTGTGACTTTTAAAAATAAATTGTCTTGTATTTTCCATACTGTTGGCCTTTATTTTATTCACCTGTGGGTAGCCATGAAGTTTAAATATTTAAGACGCAATTATAGGAGCAGCCACTATATAAATATTTGTTCCAACACTCACAAAGCACCTAGACAAACTGATCTGATAAATTAGGCAGTTATTTTGTAAGGTTACTGAGGAAGAAATAAAAGCTAGACCAGACATGTCAAAGATATGGTGACAGACTCCAGTAGATAGAGGTCCAAAAAACATTCAGTTTTGGCTCCACAAACAGCACTTGACATTCCAGTAAGATTCTCTTTGGAGAAAATGACTGTCCAGGTAAGAATAATGATGAGAGTTTTTTCTATGAGCAGAAAACACAAATAAGACACTGATGTGTGTTGAACACTTTGCTAACTTGTCTCCTTCACTTGTCAAATAAACCCAGGCAGCAGTTACACAACAGCCTTCAGGTGATCATGCTGAACTAAAAATCAGTTATAACTCTTTTCCCATGTCCATTTTCAGTGGACCACCTTTAAAACTTTTTTGTAAACATTGGATGTATAAGATTGATTTTAATTTAAACTCTCACCATATAAAAATGTACTATAATTTCTTTAGCTGAAGATATCTCATACAATTTTGATTTCATAACACTGTAAAGCCACCAGTTCTTCTTCAAGCAAAAAAAGAAAAGTAATTCCACACTTTGATTCAGAAATATAATAGCTGGCAGGAACAGGCTGTGTTAGGTTAGTAGGAATTCACGAGTAAGCCATAATATTTTCAAACAATATACTTTGATAAAAATATTGACTTGACTTAGCTACATCCTATATCTACAAATAACGTGAATATTCTCTCTAGCACAAATATTCATTGAAGCAGTTAACCTTTAGCAAATATAACCATAAAGTAAAATTTAAATAAACAGTCAATGTTCACACTGGAAATGGTCCTCCAGAAATTACATCCTATCAATTCAAATCCTGAAACTGATGAGTGCTATGTTAAAATAAATGCATCTTGTTTTCTAAACTGAACAAAATTAACTAACAGACTCCATACATTGCTACTTATTTCTCAGATGGTTAGTTACATTGATGAGCCCAGATGCATGCAATACCTGCTGTTATACCTCGACAAGAATATAAATATACTCTCAGAAATAATCTGACCCAATGATGTTGGCCACTGTGGTGGTGCATTTCTTTCCCCCTCTCTGGGCTGATCTACGAACTCAGGGAGTCTCACTAGGCCTTAGCATAAGTGTAATGAGTTGGGTGGATTAAGCATCCCTTGACCATACCAGTGACTCTTACACGGCTAAGGCAGGGAGACATGCAGACTGTCTCAAGGAATCCTGCTGTCTGGTGACAACAAAAAAAAAAAAACACCAAAAGTAGAGAAAACTATTTCTCTCATACAAACCTTGAGACATCCCAGCCCTCTCCTGACAACTTTAGAGCATCCCCTATCTGAATCTTAAGTCATTCTCCAACAGCCCCAGAATATTCGTCATCTGAATCATGACTGATGTGAAATGGTACCAGCGCAGCTGGAATCCCAGTAATTTGTTGATGACTGAAGTCAATCACCTCCCGAACCTATAAAGAGCGGTACTAAGTTGAGAACCTTTGAGCTCTCCTGGACCACAGTGGGCTGTGACCAGCATCTCCCTCTGAGCAGGAAGCCTCTCACAGCTCACAGACTTTTCTGTTTGTGAAGATTGGAGGTCTGTCGCCAAAAGCCAACAGGACCTGGGCTGATACTCTCTGTTCCTTGAGGCTCAACGCTTTGCCCGTTGAGAAAGATGCAGAAGCATTCAATGTGGATATTTTCACTGAACTCGAGGGGAATTTTTAACAGGTATACCTCTTTTACTTGCTTATATGTATATCTCTTAGTGCCTTTATGCATGTGTGTGTGTACTAACGTGAATATTCTATAGCAAGTATATTACAAGTTACTGCTTTTCAAATCTACATTTAAATTACTGTCATGAACTTTATTCAACTATGAATGAATCTCAGGCTGTTATTATACTTATAATCCCTTAGATATAAACCGTTGACCAAGTCTGGGACTAGGAGTCGATCCAGCCGCACCTAGACTACAACAGGAGTTTAGAAAGCAAGAGGGTCTTCTCTGAACCTCGTGACTCAATGGGAGGGTCTCCCTTACTCTTTTTACATTCCCCATCTCTGTACGAATCACCAGAAATCAATTCTAACTCAATTTTTCATTATATATTTCTCTTTTTTAACTTACTGCATTTTCAGTCTCTGTATACCTAATTTTAGTCTGATTCTAACTCAATTTTCCCACGTGCATTTCATCCATATATTAAGTTATAGAGTGAACTTTGCCATCAAATTCTGTGAAGTTGCGCTTTTACTTAAATTCCTATTAAATAATTTTTCTTTTGCTAATACCGTTGGAAGTGATTCTTTGAGTGGTCCAAACCACTCCCTTTCATGACAGCCAGCTGTCTACAAAAAACTCTGGAAATAAACTAGTCCCTTATAAGATGCAATGGTAAACTGCAAGTACAAAAAAAATACCCCTAAAGAAATAAAGTCATCAAATGGAATTGAATAAGTTCTCCCAGTATCTTGAATAAAAATACAGAGTAAAATGTGTTCTATATTTTAGGTTTTGGTCTTGATTGTTTATTTGTGTTTGTGCTCACATATACCTCAGGCCAATTTCTGATTGCATAGCTAGTAGCATAGGACTCTGGTTTTGGGTGATTTCCAGCCTTGATACTTAAATTGGAACAAGAAGTATGGCTCTAAGTTTGTCATTTTTAATGCTGAAGGTGTCAGGAAAACATGCAAAAGATCAACATGCCACTTTTCTTAAGACAGTTTCACATAGAAGACATGTAGTGCTAAAAGCAGCAATGGAACATGTTTTCAAGCTACTGATAAAAAGTCAGCATTTAACATAAGCAAATGGACAGAAGGTCTTTTTAAGAAAAAATAATCAAAATAATATTATTGCAGAACTAAACAAGGCAGTAGCAACTGAGCCACTTCAACTTTTCTCTGTGAAAGACTTGATTGGGAAGTGCAGTTTCTTGTCTTTTCCTTCCCTCCCCCCACCCAAATAATTACTCTGTAGACCAGAACTGACTCACAGTAAAATATCTCTTAACTAAATGTCGTGGTTTAACCCCAGCCAGCAACAAAGCCCCCCCCACCCGCTCACTCGCTCCCCCCCATCCAGTGGGATGGGGGAGAAAATCAGGAAAAGAAGTAAAACTCCTGGGTTGAGATAAGAACGATTTAATAGAACAGAAAAGAAGAGACTAACAATGATAATGATAACACTAATAAAATGACAACAGTAGTAATAAAAGGATTGAAATGTACAAATGATGCGCAGGGCAATTGCTCACCCCCCTCCGACCGACACCCAGCCAGTCCCCCAAGCGGCGAATCCCTCCCGCCCCCACTTCCCAGTTCCTAAACTAGATGGGACGTCACATGGTATGGAATACACTGTTGGCCAGTTTGGGTCAGGTGCCCTGGCTGGGCATGAGAAGCTGAAAAATCCTTGACTGTAGTCTAAACACTACTGAGCAACAACTGAAAACATCAGTGTTATCAACATTCTTCACATACTGAACTCAAAACATAGCACTGTACCAGCTACTAGGAAGACAGTTAACTACATCCCAGCTGAAACCAGGACACTAAAGTAAGCAATCAAGGACACAAATTCTGTTTTCAGTTTAACCCAAACTAGTTCCACAGTCTCACTGGGATTCTCAAAATTTTTAAATGGGATTTAAATCACTTTAGCTGTTAGTTTATAAGTACATGAATTCTAACAAGGAAACTAATCAAAATCACACAGGAGATACCTTTTACTGCAGTGAACTCCACAGAAAACCCTTGGCAATTAAGTATGCTTTGACAAAGCTTTAAAATAATCACATTCAAATACAGTGAAAACTACAAAGCTTTTTCAGTGGAACTTTAAACCACATATTATCAATATCTGATTTGTAGCTCTATTTGATTCATAACTGTTCACATGTTTGAAAGATTTCCTAAGTTAATAAGGAAAAAGATCAAGAAAACTAAAAATCTTTATCAGACTGTTGAAAGTATCACAAATCCCACTGCATGGCCAATTCAAACTTGACTTTGCTTTACAGTCCTGACCACTATCTACATTTGTAACACTGTGCTTATTTTCCAAGTTGGCTTCCATTTTTGCTAGCACAATTTTACTTCCAGACAAAATAGGCCTATAGTTTTACCACGTAATATGAAATTACTAAACTCAGTGTTTGTAGCATAGTTGGAAATCACGGTGCCAGAATATTGAAATAGGCTGAGGGGTGGGCTGGAAGTCAGTTTTTCTTTCTGTCTCTGCTTCTCTTTTGCAGTGGGAGTCTACTATTTTACTTCCAAAAGAGAAAACTGGGATTGATTCAGCGCTGATGCAACAAACCAATCAAAAATCCTCCACTAATGCTGGGACACAGTGTTTGTTAAAAAAAAAAGTTCTTTAAAATAAGAATACAGAAAATCATAGAAAACTTACAAGTACTCTGCCAGTTAACGTCTGGGCAGATATCATGACTCCTGCCCAGTCCTTCACGGAGGTCATCCATCCCACTTCTGCTGCCACATTCTCCTCTTTTTCATCTGTTGGTTTGCAGGCCCCATCTACCTGTGTATCTCCACCACCGTTGATCTTCTGGGCCTCCTGCAAAGTAAGTATTTGGGTTAGTCAATGTTTAGCAACTTGACAGTGGAAGTCAGCGTATGGTTGTGGCTACGAAAAAAGCAAATCAGTCTTCCCGGATTTGGGCTAGATGAAATTAAGCACCTACTTGGCCATATCTCTTCAGAAATAATAGAAATAGAAATGTTCTATGACGTACCAGACTAACAACTAGATAATAATACTCTCCTTGACATTACATCTTAAAAACATATATTTGGCATCAGATATGCTATATGTTCCTTCCCTATACACAGCATAATTGCCAAGAGCTATGTATGCAATTATAGAGCTACATACAAATGAGTTTGTCAGACATGCCTGAAGGACCTTTTGATGTATTAATTCAAAACAACATGTACTAGCTGTGAACATAATTTATGTACAATTTTAATTTACTATCACTAGAATTGATTTTGAGTAAACCTTCACTGAGAAGCATGATGTAACAAGACAATAATTATCAAGTGTGAGGGGAACAAAATATACCATAAAGAATCTGCAGGGAGCTGCCATGCTATCAGTGAACCAGTGTTTCAATAAAAGTTTTTAATATATCACAGGAATTCTTCTGTCAGTAAATGGCTCTCATAGAATGGAGAGCTAGAAATTAAAGAGGACCCTCAGCTGCACTAAGCTGACTGATGAGTCACATGCATTGGAATTCATATCGGTCTCTCACAGATGCTGCAGTAAGGATGTTGTGCTCTGTGGCTGCCTGCTGTGTGTTACAGTCATGGATGCTGCACAAAAATCCAGGGAAATGATAGGAAAAGCCAGCCAGGATTGTATAGCGTTTAAAACACATCATATGCAAAGAATCAGACTGTGCCATGAGCATGCCTTTGGTAACAGCATAATACTAATGACTTCCTGAATACTTGGAAAGTTATCCTAAACAAGCATAGGGGAGTGTCATGGCTTAACCCCAGCCAATAGCTAAGCACCACACAGCTGCTCAACTCACTCCCCCTACCCCCACCCAGTGGGATGGGGGAGAAATTCAGGAAAAGAAGTAAAACTCGTGGGTTGAGATAAGAACGGTTTAATAGAACAGAAAAGAAGAAACTAATAATGATCATGATAACACTAATAAAATGACAGCAGTAATAATAAAAGGATTGGAATGTACAAATGATGCGCAGTGCAATTGCTCACCACTCGCCAAACAATGCCCAGTTAGTTCCCGAGCAGTGACTCCCCCCAGGCCAACTCCCCCCAGTTTATATACTGGGCATGACGTCACATGGTACGGAATACCCCGTTGGCCAGTTTGGGTCAGCTGTCCTGGCTGTGTCCCCTCCCAACTTCTTGTGCCCCTCCAGCTTTCTCGCTGGCTGGGCATGAGAAGCTGAAAAATCCTTGACTCTAGTCTAAACACTACTGAGCAACAACTGAAAACATCAGTGTTATCAACATTCTTCACATACTGAACTCAAAACATAGCACTGCACCAGCTACTAGGAAGACAATCAACTCTATCCCAGCTGAAACCAGGACAGGGAAGCAGCAAAATTCAGTGCTGAGGCAAGTACTGAGCACTTGAACTGCACCCAAAGATCTACATTAGTGCTTCAAGCACTCTGCACAGACCAATACCTTTAAAGATCTCGTTTATAGATAACTTGCCTGTAGGCCACTAAGCAGGAAATCAATTGCCATTAATCCCCTTTGGGATATCCGTTACACAAGCAAAGATGTTTGACGCTGGTTCACTGATTATTACTACAGTAGGAATATTACACTACAACAGTCAAAATGCATAGCTGTGAGATGGTCTTGAGGACACAGCTGGACATAAAGGTAATGGCACTTCCTGAGAGCAGTACTGAACTAGTAAGGCTGTTGCACTGAATCTGTCAGCAAAGGACAGTAGAGCAACACTAAAAATGTAATATGGAGACCAACAGTTGTTTTTAGAGAATCTCAGTATTACAACTCAATTAGCTAATCAGATTGTTCCCTGTTAGTCTCCCTCCTGAAATGCGGGCTCTGCCTTCTTACCAGCAATTATAGCACAGTGCATGATGTGGCTATATTGATAGTACCGAATTATTTGGAGTTACAACAGTAATTCAGTACTTCCTAAGCAAATAACCAGAGAAAAGATAAAAGCTACTTTGTATTTGCATAACAGGACGTCATTCCCTGACAAATTTGGATACAGTGAATCAGATGTTTTGCACTGGGCAAGAAAGAGGTATACTGCATTGCACACACACAGAGCACAACCTACAGAAATGAGCTCACTGCTTAGGACAGTGATGTATGGTACAGCGCAAGGCATTTCCAGGAGAGTAACGCTTGGCTAGGGACAATTTCTGACCCATATCATCACCAAGCCATATAGAACAGTCCCAAAGAAATGTCTTGACCACCATCAGTGTTTTGATTATAAACCAGGAAAGAGAAACCTAGCTTCTTTTGGGTTTTTTTGTTGGGGTTTTTTTGAGTGGATGATGTGGCTGTACGTACCAGACATTGTAATAAAACAAAATATTGAGGTTTAGGCATCCTAGACACATCTCTAAGGCCCTGGGGGCAGTCAGAGGCCTCACTGGCCCTGACTCTTCCCCAGGGTCCCCCCCACCCTGCCTGTGGCCCAGGGCGCCATTTCAGCCCAGCCCAGGGCCAGCAGCTCCCCACAGCCCTGTCCTACCCAGCCATGGGCCTCGCTGAGCCAGGCCCCACCAGCCCCGCCAGCCCACAGCTCGTTCCCCTCACCAGGCCAGATCCTTACCCTCACCCACAGGCTGACATCCCAGGCTGGCCCCGGCCTGCCCCCAAAGAGATGCTGATGCCCAGGGCTGGGGGGCTGCCCCCGCCTGCCCCGCTCCCTGGCTGGGGTGGTGGGACAAGGCCCCGGCTGCCAGGCCCGGCCCTGCTGGCCTGGGCATCCCCTGGCCCTTGGGAACCCCCCAGCCCCGCACCGCCCTCACAGCTACTGACCTCCTACAGATTACATGTGCCATTTACTTCTCTCTTCCCACCAGTTCGTCTGCCCTTTGTACCTATTACAGCTCGTCTTTCAGATTGTAAACTCTACACACCAGATTTTACTGCACGGTCCTCCTATGCATAGCACAGTGGTCTTTTATGCTCTGTACAAGTTTATGCTGAATGAAAGTATTAATGTGGTTTTCATAGTAAAGATGGTGTAATTATCTCTTCCTCTCAGATAAGAAACTGAGATGGTGATTAAGTGCCTAACTCAGTCACCAGAGAAGTCATCGGCAGAGTGAGGATGAAGCCACAGACGTTCTTGATTTTTCCACCCAGCAGCCCTTCTCAGGGATGAGAAATCTCAGGGATGCACACCTTGCTAAAAAAATTCATAATTACGGATTTTGGTATAGAAAGTCACAGAACTACAGATCATTAAACAAAAAGAGCTGAATGGAAAAGTCCATTTCATGGTAGTGAACTTGAAAGTATTAAGGTTGGAAAATTCTGTTATTGTTTACATACTCCTTCCTTACCCCCAATGTTTTTGTCAATATATCAAACTGAATTTTAAAGACATGATTATTCATAAGATTATAAAAATGAAATTTCCTAACACTCAATAAAATAGTAAGAAATTTAATTCATGGAAAGAGAAAGGTAGATTTTATATTTTCAAAAGGTTCTAATACCCTACAGTTCTTTTTGCTGTACTGACTTTTGGTTGCCAGTAGACTAGAGCAGTAAGATGTGACAGACTTATTCAGTATCTGATTCTCTTAAAGTATTAAAGTCTGTAATACATTTGAAGGGCTGTATTTCTGCATTTATACCACTTATTTCACCTCTATTAAAATCTCCCACCCATATTATTTCTTAAAAAAAATATAAGTGAAATAATCATCCCCTGCCAAGTATCATTTGGAGCAGAGTCTCATGATCAGCTACATACCGACTAACTCTTGCCATTATTGTAGCTATAATTAATATGGAGATTACTTGCTGTTATGTAATACTTGTATTCAGTTGGGATATTTTATATTTTTCATCTACATGGCCAGCTTCTTAGCTTACTTAATTGGCAGTTAAGTATTAAGAAAAGTTTATTCCCAAGTCATCACACAATTGTGCAGAGACCTCTAAAGGAGATTTAAAGGCTGCTTTCATTTACACTGTGTACAAAGCAGTCCTGTTATTAACTGTATAGTCCTGTTCCATTGCTATTTCTTCACCTCAAAGCATTGAGTAACCAACACCACAACCTGAAAAAGGTGCTTAAAAAAATAACCTGACAGTGACGGTAATTGTTTAATTATTTACAGGCTCAGTATCTACAAGTAAAGTAATACTATCTTTATTCACTCTGCTTACCTTTTGTTTCACAAAGTGTTCATTATTTTAATTACCTGATGACAGGAACATTCAGGTAGATTAAGTGAGAAGCAGAATATTTTGTGAAATATGTATTTCCTGAACTTAATGACAAAATGGAACAGAATGCATAATGAGAAGGGGTGTACAGGAATCCAGGAATCAGGATTCACTGTTCTACCAATGGTTTGACACGGACCTGGACCAGATAATTCAATGATTTGTCTTATACTTTCAACAATAAAAATTGATGTAGATTACACAAGTGCTGGGATGCTTAAACACAATTCTCTTAAGAAAGCAGACTTCAAAAAGGGAAAAGACACTCAAAAACTGTTTTCAGTTTTGAAAATGTAGTCCTGCCTGCTTCACTTTACCTGTCTCTAGAATATCCATACAGACATAGAACTAATGCACAGACACTCCATTCAACCCAGGACTGCACAAAATAAAATCAGAAAATGTTTATGAAAACTTAAAACGTCATCTGAAAATAATTTGCCCTTTTAGAAGCCCTAAAAAACCAGGACACTGTGAGGACAACCTGGTAAGCACTCTCTGAAGTATGGTACTGAAAAAAAAACTTGGTCTCTTGCTAAAATATGTTAGAAAACAGAGGAAACAGGCAGGTAATGTGAGGGCGAAGAACTGGGTTAAAGTCTGGTGAA